ATTTTCTATTTAGAAATGTGATTTATTATATAGAAGAGATGAATAGGTAGGCAAATTGTATCTTTTATTTTGTGAATGAGTAAGAATACAGACTTACAGTAGACTAAATTTTCCAAATCTTGTAAATGGAAGTCAAATTTAGTTTGTGAATATAATTATGTCAGTAGAAAACAAGCTGTGATTTATTACACATGCTCAGGAGTTCCAGAAAAATATAATCATATGTATAAAGAACATATAAATATATTATTTGCTTTCTTAAGTTTTAAAACATATCCTAACATTTTTACCACTTTCGGGTTTGTAGAGTAAAATAGTATGAAAATAAACTACTTTAAAATATGTGGACTGGGCTGTGCTTAGCATGTGTGAGGCACTGGGTTCAATCCTCAGTACCAAATAAAAATAAATAAATAAAAGTATGTGTTCGTCTACAACTAAAAAAAATTTTCAAAACATATATATGAACAATAATTCAATCCTTTAAAGTTAATTAATTAAATTTAGTTAATTTAGTATTCTTTCTCTGTGTTCCCCAGGCTACTCTGTTCATTTTTCTTTTCATTTTATTTGCCTCATAATTATTTGTAATGGTTCAGAGTTTATATTACCTGAATTTAATCCCAGTTTCACCACTAAATGGCTGTGTGACTTGGAACAAGTTTTTTTTTTTTTAACTAAGGTTTATTTAAATTTTCTCATGTAAAATGGATGTCATAATAGTACTTTCCTCATTCATAAAATTGTGAAAATTAAAAGCAGGCAGTGCACTTATCATAGTGCTTGGGCACAATAAATATTTATATCTTGGATGTTTGACTAGATTGTGAGCTCTAACAGTATCTCTAGTATAGAATAGGGGCCTTAGTTTGTTGTATAAGCTGTGTATGTAGAATTTATATTTGAAAAGTAAAAAAAATTCTATTTGATTTCTTTCCAACAGTTTTAACACAGGCTAAACGGTATGCTTTTTTCATGCCAACTCTTCCAAGTTTAGTGTCTTTTTGTCGAGCATTTCCTCCACTGTATGAGGATATTATGTCTTTGCTGATTCAAATAGGACAAGTTTGTGCCTCTGATGTTGCCACTCAGACAAGAGACATTGACCCAATCATTACACGTAAGTGATAACTCACGTTCAGAAGTCATCTAAGTATTTTAAATGAGAAGGCAGATTACTTTCCAGATTTCTTGGCTTAATGTGTTTTTCTTTCTTTATGCGTTTTAGGTCTTCAACAAATAAAGGAGAAACCAAGTGGATGGTCTCGAATCTGTAAAGATCCATCTTACAAAAATGGATCCAGGGACACCGGAAGCATGGATCCTGATGTACAGCTCTGTCATTGTATTGAGAGTACAATAATTGAAATAATAAACATGAGTGTTAGTGGAATTTAAAAAAAAATTTTGAAACAAAAAACGAAGCTTTTCACTGCATATATCCATCATGAATCTGCATCTTATAGCAGCTCTAAACTGAGTGGGAGCAGTAATGTCTTGGAATTGCTGAATTGATTCAGTTCAACATGAATACAATTTAGAACTCTCTGAGAATTATGCTTGCTTGTGTTTGATTGGCACGTCTTTGGATCTACTTTGCTGGTATGTTTATGTTGTAGCTGAGCTTTTTTACCATTGGGAACACATTTAAGAAACTCATTACTGGAATGGGAATTTGGCCTTGTACTTAGCTTTTGAAGCAAAGAAAGACTGCCATGCCTTTAATTTAATGTTTCTCATAAAAATGAGTGTGTGGGTAGCCCTAGTGTTTTACCCGTGGGCTTGTAACAGAGTATGACAAAGATCAAAGGATGGGAGGGTGAAAAAGGGATTAAGCAAAGGGAGAATTCAGGAAAAATTAGGAGTTAAATATCCAAATAGAAATCCCAAGACTTGTAATACAAGTAATAGGAATGCAGGTTGATATTCTAGTTCTCAAGAAACAGTATTAAGGCTTTAAACAAAAGGCAAGTAGCTTCTGTAAGTGATTTCCATAGAATTACATGTGATGATTTAAAGATTTCAAATATTTGCTTTAATTTTTACTAATGTATGAAGCCATATGTTTGAAGAGATACTTGAATAATTTGGAATTTGAAGATACTAGTTTAAAAGTGTTTATAGAAACATCTCTGTGCAGAGAGGAACCTGAAAGGAAGTCTCATTTATTTTATTTTTTACATTTATTTTTATAATGCTTTATTAACTTATCTAATTCTCAGAGATGGGAATATATATCAAATTAAAAGAAACTTAGAGCAATAAACCCCACTGGATTAAAGAGCTCTTGGTTTATCATCAGGATTATGATTCACATTTTCCTTTGAGAAGATCTTTGAGAAAATATTATACAGTGTTTAAACCTCAGGAAAAATTAAAATGTGGCAAATACTGTCTTGCTGAAGGATTTTGCAGCTCTCTGTTAGTAACTCCCATTGATTAGGTAGGTGCATTAAGAAAACCATAATCTACATTTTTCTTTAAAAAAAAAAATTAAGTGTCCATTGTAGAAGGTACTTCTCTTTGCTTTCTGGGATATACCTCAATTGTCCCCCACCCCAACCCACCCTGCCCCGGCTTGAAACAAGCCTTTTCGCTGGTAAAAGAAGTTAAGCAAGCTAATAAAGTGTTTTTTAAGGAAAGAAATTTAACTTCAAACCTTTTCACTAGCAAATAGTCACATCTCATTTTCTTTCTTTGTAAAATGGGGTTACTACTGGCCCTACCTCATAATGATATTCTATAAAAACTAGTTTGTAGCTGTTTCCAATCATGGAGTGTATAGTATCATGAGTGATAGAATATTTGTAACTTTTTATTAGATGCTTAATGTAATTAATTAATTTTGATGTGAAGAATAAAAGAGTATGATGAAAAAATACCACAAGAATTTTCAAATTTTTAAACAAGGCAGTTTTGTAGTCTCATAAAATTAAATACAGCTGCTCCTGTTTTATTTTTAAACTGAGGCCTTGGAATATTTTGTGTGAATAGGTACCTCTTAGGACTTCAGAAAAGGTTGAAGTATGTTTTCTAACTAAATGCAGTGCACATTTTCTGGATTGATTTTTCAAAAGATTGGTCAAAACCTGCTGTGTTAAAATAATAACATGCTGTTTTTCATCAGCTTTGTTGATGATGATGTAAATAAATGTGTAAATATATTAGTAAATGTTAATATTCATGTATTTTAAGTTAAGGTTATAAAATTTGTCACAATGATTTTTTTTATTCAAGTGAAAACAGATGTGTGCAGCTATTTTGGATATTGATTTATAAACATTCATATTCTTTATCAAATGAACTTAGTTTTTGGTGTTTCATTCCATAATAGTTGTAACCCTGAAAGGAACAGCTGAAGGTATTGAAGTCCAGGATTGCCTGGTTCCAGAAGTTAGGTATATCACTTTCTGTTATGCCCCACACATTAAATGGCAATAAGAGGTTAGAGTTAATTGAAAGCCTTTGGAATTTAAGTCAGGAATATGATAGTTAACCCTGGAGCAGTTACTTCAATTATTTGATCTTTTAAAAAATGGTAAGAGGAAAATAACAATCTGAAGTTTCTTTTAAGGATTTTTTTAAGATAAATTATTCTTCATCCCTTTGTAATAGTAAATTACTCCTTTGTGTTTATCCATATGTATTTTCACATTACTAAATTCTTAACATTCAACATGGAGTCTGATTTTTTCACTTTATAAGATATTTTTTCTTGCAAGTAGTTTAATTTTTAAAATAATTTTATTGGCTTCATAATTTATTTAATTGATATAACTATCTCCTAGAATGGGAAATCTAATTTTTTTTTGGCAGTATTACAAATAGGTAAGTAGTGTTACGAATTGAGGTATTACCACCTTTTTTTCTTTTACATTATGTCTTTGGGACACATTTCTGGGTCTGAGATTACTAGGTCAACGGGCATAATTTATTTATATGACAAGTTTTATTATTTTGAGGATATGCACAACTGAACTGTGAATGCCTTCTGCTCCCTACTCCCAGCAAACCTCCCTCCCCAAACTAGTCATATGAATTTAAGAAACCCTCTCAGATTTTGCCTTTTTTGGGGTAATAGTATTTGAGTCAAGTGTAGGTTACACAGATTTTTTTCCCCCAGTACTGGGAGTCGAACCCAGGGGTGCTCTACCACTGAGTTATTCCTCCAGACTTTTGAGACAGGAAACTTTGAGATCCTCCTACCTCAATCTTTTGAGTAGCTGGGGTTACAGGTAAGCACCCTGTTGGTCATACAGAATTTAAACAATAAATAAATTTGGCGAGATCAACCCTAACCCCCTACCTCGACGAAACTGAATTGTACATGGCAAAGAAGAATACACTGGTTTTAGGAAGCATAGAAAGCAAGTAAGCGTTAAAGTAAGTAGAAATGATCTATCTGTTGCTGGAGATTTTGGAGAGCATTATCTCTGGCAGATTCTATCATCCGGGAAAGCCTTGATTTTGAAACTGCCAATTGTCAGAATCTTTTCGCCTAGTTTGGTTCTGTAGTCTAGCAATTCCGTTTTTTTTTTTCTTTTTTTTTTTATACTATGGCTCCTGTAAAGTTGGGAGATTCAAATTGAGCGGCACCAGAGAATAGCTTGGCAAGGCTTAGAAAGATGTATCCTTTCTTTGGTTTACGAACCTTCAAAATGAGCGTTAGTTTCCAGGGAATTGGCTGCTCGGCTAACCCCTATCTATTTGAAAAGATGAGCCGAGAAGGCAATTTTTCTTTAAAGAAGCCCCTGGGGTTTACTCCAGTCCACTCTTCCCTCTACGGTGGCTGCTTTCTGGCGCCTCCAAGTACATTGGTCGGTTCTTATTTTGGAGGTTTCCATTGGGTGCTAGAGTTTTCGCCCCCTAACCTCTCGCTGGGATTGGCTATTTGCTTTCCGGTCTTGGCGGGTGATTGGTTGTGTGAGCTCTCTCGGCGATTGGGTGTTGGGAGTCAAGGGGGTGGGAAGCGGGAACTCATTCGGAGTTGTGCCGAGAGGAATGAGAGCTGGAGCCAGGAAAAGGTAAAGCGGCTGGAACTCGCGACACACCAGGGAGTAGTAGTCTGCGAGGAAAAGAGAGAATTAAGGCTTGCGCCATTTTTTCTCTGCTAGGAGGTCTGCATTATTTGCTCTCAAAGATGTTATCCTCCCCGCCATGAGTTGGAGCCCAGTCCGCGTTGCTTCTGTTTCCCCTCAGCACCGGCATGTCTGCGGGAGGTCTGGGGGAAGGGCGCCTAGCAGGGTTCCTCTGCCAAGGTCTTGGCAGCCTCTCCCGCTCTCCTGGGTGGACCAGATAACCTAGGCCGCGGGACCTCAGTTGGCCGCGGGAGGTAAGGGGAAGGGAACCCATCCTTACCTCCTTTGAGCACAGGCATGACATGAGCCCTGGGCCCTCTTTGCCTCTTGGCGGGAGGCTGAACGGTTTGTTTGTCCTTTATGCTGTAGGTAGAGGAAGCTGCTTCTTTATGAGACGAATGTTGCCACAGCCAGGCCAGGGATGAGGTTGAGTAGGCCTGCGTCTTGATTCAGATTGATGTTAGATTGCACTAAACCTCATTCTCAGAGCTTCACAGATGGAATCACAGAATCCTTTTTAGAACTGGAAAATGCAATGATTCTTAACTTCTTTTGAAACACAAACTGGTGAAGGCTGTTTTTGGCTTCATAATAGCTATTTTAACTATCTCTATCCCCAGGATGAATTTAACACTTTTTTCACGATTGCAAAAATTCCTTAGTTGATAAAAGTGTGTGTGTGTGTGTGTGTGTGTGTGTGTAAATGTATATAATTTCCCCCTTTTTTGGTTTCTGTAGGATATATGAATTGGAAGAGAGATCTGTGAACTTTCTCTTCAGAAAAATGCAATCATGCAGAGGAATTTCTGCATGCAATTTTAAGAGGTTACATTCTCAGAATAACATCTATGGATTCTCGGTTAAGAAAGTGGTTTAAAAGAGATGAGGATTAAAGTAAATCATATCTCTGTCAGATACTGGGTTATGCACATTCTGTCTTGGCTAATTTTCACAAACAAGGTTTGAGAAAGAGGTTAAGTGATTCACATACTGGAATTCAAACTTGGATTTACCTTACTCCAAGGCCCATCTTCTTTCCATTATAGTTACTGACCTTTAAATAAGAATTATTGAGTACCTACTATGTCTGAAGGCACTTTCTCCCTGGCAACAATTTTTAAATTAGGGATTATTACAGACATGGACCTTAGACCAGAGAAGTGAAAAGACATGTTAAAAATAATTTATCTGAGAACTTTCAGGACCTCATCTAGAATCTATGCTTCCTGAAACCTGGTCCACAGCTTTCCCCTTCTAATTGGAGAACTTCAGGAAGAGGAAACAGGAATAGAATAGGAGAAAAAGAGTGGTGCTATGGAATTGCCTTAGGAACCTATTGGTAGATTGATAATAACAATATAACCAAAATAAGAATAACAATTATTAAGTTATGTATTATGGGTTAGATATTGTTACTATCTTTATTTTATGGATGAGGATATCAAAGTCTAGAAAAGTAAACCCCACAGTCACACAATGAATACATGGTAGGGTAGAGATACAAATCCAGATTTGTCAGACTTTTTTCTTTTTTAGGTGATACTGGGGATTAAACCAAGGGGTGCTCTACCACTGAGCTGTATCCCCATCCCTTTTGTTTTATTTTGAGACAGAGTCTCACTAAGTTACTAAGGGTCTTGATAAGTTGCTGACCTTGAACTTCCAATCCTCCTGCCTCATCTTTCTGAATTACTTGGATTACAGGCATGTGCCACCATGTCAGACCTGTCACTCTTAAAACATGTTCTTGACCACTGATTTATTTATAAGTATAGGAAATTTATTTTGCTTCCCTTTGTTTTGTTTATACACTTACTAATCCACTAATCCCATTTTTTATTTCTAGACTTCTGTTTTACTGTTGGGTGTCTGGTTTTCTTAGAATGACACTGTTTCAGTATTGATTTTCATTTCTGTTGCAGTTAGGAATCTAAAGTAAACAAGAAAGCAGGATGTCCTCAATGTGGTCTGAATATACAATTTGCGGAGTGAAGATCAAATTTCCTTGTAAAGCTTACCCATCACAGCTTGCTATGATGAATTCTGTAAGTGTTTTTCAGCAGTTAAGTCTTTTAGATATAGATACTTATGGTTTGTAACATAATACATTGAGTATGTGACTATAGTTATATTCTCAGATAGTGTTTAGATAGATAATATTTGCTGGGTTCATTTGGAAAAACACCTAACCTTTGGGAAAATTAATATTGATCACTACTGAACTGTATATGACTATAGTTAGTATGCAGGGAAGAACTTTCTGAAGAATGTTCTCAGCTCATTTGGAATTTCTATTTAATAAATTAATGTTTTCTACAGAAAACATTGTCTTTTACAAATAGTATTTTTCTTTGCAGTATAGTATCTAAGTATCTGTGCAAGATTAGTTCTAAGACCTACTTCTTATACCAAAATCTGCAAATTATATATATATATTCATATATATTATTAATTATTATTATATATAAAACAGTACACTATTTGCATATATCGGTCATTTAATCTCTAGATCACCTATGCCTAATACAATGTAAATACTGTGTAAATAGTTGTTTTATGAATATTTTTGATTTGCTGTTTGTTCAATCCATAAATTCAGAACATATATACAGAGGCTGATTGTATTTTAATTATCTAGAAAATTAATACACACATTTGAGTAAATCAGCTTTCCAGCTTTTAAATCTTAATATTTGGTCATATTTACCCTATATCAGATTATTAATATTCTGAATTTGTTCTTTGTGTTTCCAGTGGTTTTAGAATTTTCTTCTGGTGGTACTGGGGATTGAACTAATTGGTGCTCTACCACTGAGATATATCTCCAGTGCTTTTTTTTTTAAAGAGAGAGAGAGAGAATTTTTTAATATTTATTCCTTAGTTTTTGGTGGACACAACATCCTTGTTTGTATGTGGTGCTGAGGATCAAACCTGGGCCGCACGCATGCCAGGCAAGCACGCTACCGCTTGAGCCACATCCCCAGCCCTTTTTTTTTTAATATTGATTTTTTTGTAGTTGAACACAATACCTTTATTTTATTTATTTATTTTATGTGGTGCTGAGGATCGAACCCAGGGCCTTGCATGTGTGAGGTGAGCGCTCTACCGATGAACCATAATCCCAACCCCGCCAGTGCTTTTTTTTTTTTTTTTTTTTAAGAGAGAGAATTTTTTAATATTTATTTTTTAGTTCTCGGCGGACCCAACATCTTTGTTTGTACGTGGTGCTGAGGATCGAACCCGGGCGGCACGCATGCCAGGCAAGCGTGCTACCGCTTGAGCCACATCCCCAGCCCCTCCAGTGCTTTTTTTAAAAAAAATATTTCTTAGTTGTAGTTGGCACAATGCCTGTATTTTTGTTTATTTATTTCTATGTGGTACTAAGGATCGAACCCAGAGCCCCGCATGTTCTAGGTGAGTACTCCACCACTGGGCCGTAACCCCAGCCTCTCTCCAGTGCTTTTTTATAAAATTTTTTAGTTGTTGATGGACCTTTATTTTATTTATTTATTTATTTTACTTATTTATATGCAGTGCTAAGAATTGAACCCAGTGCCCCACAAGGCAATTGCTCCACCACTGAGCTACGACTCTAGCCCTCCACCACTGAACTACAATTCCAGCCCTCCAGTGCTTTTTTTTTTTTTTTTTTTTTAAATTTTTTTTTAGTTGCAGATGAACACAATACCTTTACTTTCTTTATTTTTATGCAGTGCTGAGGATTGAACCCAGTGCCTCACACGTCAAGGCAAGCACTCTACTACTGAGCTAAAATCCCAGCCTCTTCCAGTGCTTTTTTATTATTATTTTTACTTTCTAGTGCTTTTTTAAAATTTGAAACAGGGTCTTGTTACATTGACCATGCTGTCCTCTAACGTGCAATCCTCCTAGCTCAGCTTTCTGAATTGCTGAGATTATAGGTATGTACTTGTGCCTAGCAGTTTTAAACTTTGATTTTTCTGTAGAACTTTTTATTTTTTGCAGTGCTGGGGATCAGTCCGAAGACTTCACACATATTGGAAAAGCACTCTACCATTAAGCTATATCCCTAGCCCAGAGTCTTTATAAGATGTAGCTCTATTGATTGTTAATCCATTTTAATTGTGGCATGGCATTTCATTGCATGGATATATTAGAATTTATCTCTCCATTTTCCTATGGGTGTTTAGGTTGTTTACATTCTTTTGCAATAAGCAAACAATGCTGCTATGAACTTTTATGTGTTCATATAGAAAAGGTTTGGGTTATATAATAGGACTGGATTTTGGCATCTTCAACTTTACTACAAAGTGTTAATTTTTTTTACAAAGTGGTTGTAACACTTTGTATAACAGTATCTTTCATTATTTTCATCAAAGATATTCATAGGTACTAATGTATTTCAATTTTATAGAAATGATTGGTGCTTGTATAATTGAAGGAAAAATTGCTTTTTTCATTTCTTCTGTTGTGCTTGGTATGCTTATAAATCAAAATAATTTTAGGGAGAGGTATAAAGGAATAAAGTCGAGTTTTAATTAAATATTGGTTCTTCCTTGTGCTATTCTTATGTTCCATGGGATTCTTCTTGCTGTTTATTTGTACTTGTGATAGAGAAACCTAATAAAGTAAAATGTTTATTGACTTTTTTCTTTTCTTTTTTTTTTTTTTTTTTGTGGTGCTGGGGATTGAACCCAAGGCCTTGTGCATGTGAGATAAGCACTCTACTAACTGAGCTATATCCCTAGCCCTGTTTATTGACTTTTTATTGGTTTCTTTATCTGTAGATTGTCAGAGGATTAAATGGTAGTCAACATTGTTTGTTGGAGAGCCCCACAGGAAGTGGAAAAAGCTTAGCCTTACTTTGTTCTGCTTTAGCATGGCAGCAATCTCTTAATGGTAAGTAATTGCTTGATATCTTCAGGTTGCTTATTGAGATCTGAAAAATATATGATAAAGTACTATATTCAGACTGAGTCAGCCATGTTCTAGGTAATTTGAACAATCTCTATTAAGGTGTTTCTTTCCATTTTTTTTTTTTTTGTGTGTGTGTGTATGTGTGTGTGTGTGGTGCTGGGGATTGAACCCAGGGCCTTGTGCATGCAAGGTAAGCACTCTACCAACTGAGCCACATCTCCAGCTCCTAAGGTGTTTTTTTATAATAAGTTCTATATCTTTCAAAAGAGTTTCAATATAGCAAAATATGTTTAATCCTAAAAGAATATAATTTGTCCTTTTATTTGATGATTAGAGTACATAAGGGCTAGGGATATAGCTCAGTTGGTAGAGTGCTTGCCATGCATGCACAAGGCCCTGGGTTTGATCCCCAGCACCACAAAAAGAAAAAGAAAAAGAGTACATGAGTATTTTGGATGCCTAGACTCATTATGAGAATAATTTGTTGATAATTGGCTTGTAAAAAATGCAAGGGATGAAGCTGTCATAATTCTAATATTGTTGGGTTTTTTGAGTAGATCCTCTACTATATTTGCTTATCTGACTTTCATAACATTAGAACATGGAATACATAAAAACAATTCTAGTTGATCTAACTACTTGTTTGGATATTAGGTGAGCAGAGGTTTATTGTATTATTTGTATGAATTCATAGTATTTCCTATTTTACTTTATTTGCTAACAAAATGCTTATTAATATTTACTTTTATGAAAATGTTATAATCTTCTTTTGAAGATTATATAATTTTCAAAGATTATATAATTCAAGATGCAGTAATGAATACATCTGGGATGAAAGAAAAGTTACCACAACACTCGGAGTGACCAAGAGATCTTGATGCAACAATGCGAAAAAGAAGAAAAGAGAGAGAAAAGAGAGTGCGCAAGAGAAGAAAGTGAGAGAAGAAAGAGAGAGAGAGTGAGCTTGAGAGAGAGAAAGAACGTGCGCCAGAGAGCAAGAGAGCCAGAGAGAGAGAGAGAGAGAGAGAGAGAGAGAGAGAGCGCGAGCAAGAGAGAAGGGCCCAGCAGGAGGGAGTTTTTATAGCCAAAATCTCATGGGGTCTTTGGGTCTGCAAGCTGCCTTGTTGGTGTATAGTGATTGGATCATACAGTAGTTGCTAAGGGTGCCATCGTCGGCCTTCAGGCAGACAAGGCAAGTGTCAGATGTGGTTTCTGTTGCACCAGACAGGTGGGGGTCCAGTGTTCAGCCTTGAGTGAGTTTGAGTGTTCAGACTTGAAGCAAACAGATGATAAAGGACCAGACAGAGGCGGGGTTGAGTCCCTGGGTTATCCTGCAGCTAACATTCGTTCAGCCTGCCCTGCAGACAACTTAGGTCAGCCTGCCTTGCACCTAACATGAGGTACCTAACTAGATGGTTTTGACCTAAAGTTTTAGGAGAATTTGAACTTAACCTCGGGTGTGTATGTATATAGATAAATCTTCAAAAGGAAATGTTTGTATTACTGACAAGACTGTTAAAAAGTAAATATATTATAAGCTTTGGATTATCCATTTTGATTTCTACTAATGTTAATCTTTGGGGAGAAAATGAGATTATTAGCCAGCTGTGGTGTTGCAAGCCTGTAATTCAACTGGCTCAGAAGGCTGAGGCAGGAGGATCACAAGTTCAGAGCTACCCTCAGCAGCTAAGTGAGGCTCTAAGCAGCTTTGCAAGACCCTATCTCAAAATGAAGGAAAAAAAAGTGCCATTACCCTTATGTGTTTACATTATTATTTAGGGTATTGAACTTTGAGATTCTTCATTTAACGAAATGGTAGTAATTAAGAATATGCTTCAGAGCCAGGCATGGTGGTGGTGCTTGGGAGACTGAGGTAGGAGAATTGCAAGTTTGAAGCTAACTTGGGTAACTTAGTGAGACCCTGTCTAGAATAAAAATTTGAAAAGATTGGGGATGTAGCTCAAATATAGAGACCCTGGGTTCAGTCCCCAGTACTGAGAGGAAAAATGAGAGAGAATATGCTTTAGGTCTTTGTTTTATTCCTTCCTGCTTGATTTTTAAAATAAATTTCAGTATTAATGAACATTTTAGTGGTTGTGCTTTTATTATATTATTAATCTTTGTTCTTAGATTTTTGTCAATTATAGAAATTGATGGTAACTTCTCTATAAATACTCTGACATAAGCATTTCTCTCCTGTCATAATTCAATGCTATAGATAGTATGACTAGCTTGTCCAGGTTTGCCAGGTCTAGTACTTTCCTAGTTTTTGCCCTAAAAATTTGTATCCTATGAAATCTTCCAATCCTGGGTGGACTGAAGTGGTTGCTCCCCCTAGCTGTAGAGAAAGAGTAATATTTATTTAATTACATATGTTACATATGAAGGTTCTTTGATTTTTAGGGAAGCCAATGGATGAAGGCTTAAGTAAAAAAACTGAAGTACCATTGTCATGTTGTTGTACATGCCATTCAAAGAATTTCACACACAGAGACCTGAACCAAGGAACTTCACCTCATTTCAATAGTCCAAGCACGCCACCTTCTGAAAGAAATGGCAGTTCATCGACTTGTCAAGGTAAATTGTATTTCTCTTGGATCTGCTGGTTATTTGTAATTGGAGCCTTAATTATTACTGATATGAGGCTTAGTTTAGTTAGCATAATTAATTATGTATCTCTACATAATTTTTATGGATTTATTTATTTATTTATGTTTGGTGCTAGGGATGAAACCTAGGGCCTCGTGCATACTAAGCATGTGCTTCACCACTAAGTTATATACCCAGCTGGAATTATTTTAAAATAACTTCAGCCTTTTTCAATTCTTGGTTTGACTTAATCCTTTGAGACATTTTGCTGGCTTACATTGTTTTTTGATGAATCTAAAGGAAAGTAAAAGATTAGAAATTGATATGGTCTTGTAAAAAGATTAGAAATTTATATCATTTGTAGTCAGTATTGTTAATTATATGCTAAACTTTTTTTTTTTTAAGAGAGAGAGAGAATTTTTTAATATTTATTTTTTTTGGGTTTTCGGCGGACACAACATCTTTGTTTGTATGTGGTGCTGAGGATTGAACCCAGGCTGCACACATGCCAGGCGAGTGCGCTACCGCTTGAGCCACATCCCCAGCCCTATATGCTAAACTTTTTTATAAAACATAGTGTTTGTATCCTAAAACACAATCTCATTATTCATTCTTGATAAATTTGCCTGCCTTCTGAAAATAGTGTTCTGTGTAAGAATCAGGTATGTTTTATGTATGGTCCTTAAATTGTTCTTTTATTTTTAAAATTTTTTTAGCTATAGATGGACACATACCTTTTTTTTTAAATTTATTTTTATGTGGCGTTGAGGATCGAACCCAGTGCTCACACATGCTAGGCAAGCACTCTACCACTGAGCTACAACTGCAGCCTCCCTTAAATAGTTCTTATTAGAGTAAGAGAAATATAGTAACACTACCATAAAATTTTTAAAAATATTACGTGTTTCTGCTTTTTACTACTGTTAGTCGGGATTATTGAGAATTGTCCAAATAGGGTAAATCTGGGTTGTGTTCTAATACCCTCTTTGTAAGTAAATTCTTTGACAGGATATAACCTAAATACAGAAAAGTGCAAATCCTTAGTATATAGCTTGAATTTTCACAAAATGAATATTTACTCATGTAACTACCACTTAGATTTAAAAAAAAAAAAAAAGACATTACCCACACCTCATAGGCTCCCCTGTTCTTTTTTGGGCACTATGCCTTCCTTCCATAGGTGACTTATTCTACCTTCTGTCAGAAATGATGAATTTTGCTTTTTTAGAAATGGAATTATATATGTTCTATAGTGTCTGCTTTTGCTTAACCTGTATTTGCGAGAGTCATCCATGCTCTTTCATATGGTCATAATTCTTGTTTTAGTATATTATTTTCTTGTGTGAACATTACCAGAATTTATTAATCTATTTTATGTTCATTAGACAATTGGATTGTTTCTGCCTTTGTTTAATGTAATTATGAAAAAATTTTTTTTTTTCCTTTTCATACTGGTGCAAATAAGTATTTTCTGTTAGATACATACCTAAGAATGGAATTGCTGGTCTGTTTTTATGTATATTCAACTATAGTAGATACTGCCAAAATTTTCCAAAGTGGTTGAACCAATTTATGTGTTCCTACCACTACACCTGTTCTCAGTACATTCATATCACACTTTATTATGCTTTGCAGATACTGTGGTATTTTTGTTTTTATTTTTTTAAAAAGTGAAATTCTGTGGCATTGAAAAAATGTTGATGGTATTTTTTTTCTGACAGCTCAGATAATTATTAGAATTCTTTAATAGTAAGGTTTTTTTTGGGGGAGGGCACCAGGCATTGTCAGGGACACTTAGCCACTGAGCCACATTGCCAGTGCTTTTTAAAATTTTATTTAGAGACAAGGTCTCACTGAGTTGCTTAGTCCCTCACTATTGCTGAGGCTGGCTTTGAACTCACAATCCTCCTGCCTCAATCTCCCGGGCTGCTGGGATTATAGGTGTATGCCACTGTGCCCAGCATAATAAGGTGTGTTTAAATTAAGGTATATATATATTTTTTCTGACAGCGCTATTGTAGCCTTAATAGACTATAGTATTGTATAAACATCGCTTTTTTCTTCCTTCCTTCCTTCCTTCCTTCCTTCCTTCCTTCCTTCCTTCCTTCCTTCCTTCCTTCCTTCCTTCCTTCCTTCCTGTCCTAGGGCACTTAACCACTGAACCACATCCCCAAGCCTTTCTATTTTAAAACAGAGTCTTTCTGAGTTGCTTAGGGCCTCAGCTAAATTGCTGAGGCTGGCCTTGAACTTATGCTCTTACCTCCATTAGCCCCCCAGTTGCTAGGTTCACAGGCATACACTACCATATCTGGCTAAACATAACTTCTGTATATACTAGGAAACCAAAAATTTCTTGTGACACTATATTGCAATATTTGCTTTATTCAGATGGTCTGAAACTGAACTCATCATATCTCCAAGGTATGCCTGTATATGAAAATCTTCATCATTCTTTTATTTATTTATTTTTAGTTGTTGATAGATCCTTATTTTATTTATTTATATGGGATGCTGAGAATTGAACCCAGTGCCTCACACATTCCTGGCAAGTGCTCTACCACTGGAGTTATAACTCCAGCCCTGAAAATCATCATTCTTGTTAGCACTTGATATTTCCAGTTTTTAAAAATTTTAGCCATTCTTGTGCATGTGTGGTGTTCTCATTGAGATTTTTTGTTTTGCTTCATTTTCTCTGGTGTTGAGGATCAAACCCAGGGCCAACCCTAATCCCAGTGCTGAGGTTCTTTAATTTTTTTCTGTACTAGTGGTTCAACATAGGGCCTCATATGTGTTAGGCAAGCACTCTACTACTGAACTATATCCCCAACCCTTTTAACTTCACTTTTGAGACAGGGTCTGACTATGTTGCCCAGGCTAGCTGGCCTCTAAGTTGCCTCAGTATCTAGAGTTATCTGTAATTGTAGGCATGCCCCAGTTGGCCCTGATTTTTAATTGGTGTTTGTCTAGTGACCAATGTACATTTTCTTCTATGTTTGTTCATCTTTTAATATCTTCTTTAGTGAATTGCCTGTTCAAGTTCAAGTTGTTTGCCAATTTATCTATTGTTTTTTTTTTTTTTTCTGATTTCTAGGAGTTTCTTTTTCTTTATAGTATATTTGGGAGATACTGGTATCTTGCTTTTTAAAGCATGCATCTCAAAGATTTAACCCTTTTGATAAGCTTCTTGTGAACTGTCCCACTATGAAGTCATTTTATGTGTAATGATAGTATGATTTTTGTTTTTATGAATCGGGGTTACCCTTACTTGTTTTTCATTGTTTTTTTTGTTTGTTTGTTTTTGTGCAGTACTGGGGATTTAACCCAGGGCCTCAACCACTGAGCTACATTTCTAGCTCTTTTTAAAATTTTTTAAAATTTTGAGACAGGGTCTTGCTAAGTTGCCTGTGCTGATCTCAAACTTAACAATTTTTGTGGCTTTGTTTCCTGAATATCTGATACTGTGGGTTCATACCACCACATCTGGCAGGGTTACTTTTATTTGCAGGATGGCAGATCAATTTTTGTAAAACTAAATTATTGATTGTTTTGGGGGGGAGGGGTGGGGAAGGGTACTGGGGATTGAACCCAGAGGCGCTTCAATCACTGAGCCACATTCTTAGCCCTTTTTATTTTTCTTTTGAGATAGGGTGTTGCTAAGTTGCTGAGGCTGACCTAGAATTTGTGATCCTCCTGCCTTAGTCTCTTGAATTGCTTGGATTTCAGGCATGTGCCACCATGCCAGGCTAAATTATTATTTTTAGTAAACAATTCTTAAATGTTTAATGAGCCTGTGCAAATTTGCTCCTTGATGGCACAGTGCATAATAGTGGTACTGTTAACTTTTAGAGTGTGATAATTCTTTTTTATGGCATCTGCCCATGCATTGTGAGATATTTAGCAATATCCCTGGCCTTCTACATGCTAGATGACAGTAGCACCCTTCCTAGCATTTCCCCACCCCGTTTGGTTTTGAGGATTGAACTCAAGGTTTCACACATGCACTCTATCATTGAACTATACCCTTACCTCCCTTCCCATTTTTGTGACAACCAAAAATGTGTACAGACATTATTTAGTATCCCAAAGTGTAGGGAGTGGTGATATTTAAATTGCTCCAGTTGATAATTACTAATATAGGCTTATTCTGTAGTTATTTTACTGGTTTATTTAAAAATTACAGAACTCAAATTAGCGTGTCTTGCTTTGCGCAGTGGCACATGCCTGTAATCCCAGCAGCACGGGAGGCTGAGGCAGGAAGATTGCGAATTCAAAGCCAGCCTCAGCAATGGCGAGGCGCCAAGCAACTCAGTGAGACTGTGTCTCCAGATAAAATTTAAAAAGGGCTGGGGATGTGCCCCAGTGGTTAAGCACCACTGGGTTCAATCCTCTGTACCAAAAAACCAAAACAACAAAGCAAAAAAATTGCATGTCTTATCTAAAATATATGGAAATGTTAAAGACTAGCCAACACAATTTGAAAGAAACAGGTCAAAGAGAGAACTTTATATATAAGATATTCAATTTATTACACATAAAACTTAGTAATTCAGACAGTTTGATATTAGCACAGTGATAAACCAGTGTAAAAGTATAGAGAATCCAAATTCAGTCCCACATGTATCCAGAAACTTGTTATTGGAAGTACTCCTACAGAGCATAGGGGAAAGGAGTGACTTTTCTATAAGTGATTCTGAAACTATTGGGTATTGATATGGAAAAAAATTGAAATTAGAGCCCTACTTTATACCATACATAAAAATCCATTGTAGGTAGATTGAAGATCTAGATATGAAAGAGAAAACCATAGTGATTTTCAAACAATGCTTCAAACACATAAGGTTAAGGGGACAGTGGATCAAGGAAGTTCTAGGTCTTTCATCACTACTTTAGAGATATTAAGCAATATTTATTTTAAAAAATAGTCCTAAGCCTCAGCAACTTAGTCCCTGTAATACCATGGACTAGGAAGCTAAAGCAGGATAATTGCAAGTTTGAGTCCAATGTGGACAATATAGTTAGACAGTATTTCAAAATTAAAAAAAAAATTAAGAAGGCTGAGGATGTAGCTCAATAGTAAAGTGTCCCAGGTTCAATCCCTGCGCCCCCCCCCCCAATTCTAATAATTAAAAAAGCTTAAAAGTAATGCCATGCAGCTTAGATTCACTTTTGTGTTTGTGTAGGACCAAACTTTTTTTTTTTTTTTTGTACTGGGGATTGAACTCAGGGGAACTTGGCCATTAAGCCACATCCCCAGCTCTGTTTTCTATTTTATTTAGACACATGGTCTCACTGAGTTGCTTAGCACCTCACTATTGCTGAAGCTGGCTTTGAACTCTTGATCCTCCTGCCTTAACCTCCCTGGCCGCTGGGATTATAGGTGTGTGCCACTGTGCTTGGCTCCAAACTTGTTTTTTTGAGAATGGTGCAGGAATTGTTTGTGTAGGTCTCTCCCATAAATAGTATGTAAATCCTTTATGATGAGGCAGTGGTTTTTGTTCATTGGTTTTCCATGATATCTGACCAGTTTATGGACTCAATATAATAAATGGTTGTCAAATGAATTCAAGCCGTGGAAGTGGAAAGAATCATCGAGAGTGGCCAAAGGAAGGATGGTACCTTTAAGAGCACTCACATTCAGGAAAAGGGAGAAACCAATATATAGGAATAGTTAAAAATAGTTTTAAAGATATTAAGGGAAAAGGAAATGTGTTTGCTGTTTTCTAAGAACACAGGGTGTTATGTTTGTCGTTATGCTTAGTGGTTATACTTATGGATATTGAAGTCAAATATTTGACAGATCTGTCACACACAAGTCTGCCACTTATAGTTATGTGATATTAGGCAAGTTACTTCACCTTAATACCAAGTGTATTTATAATTCCACATTTGTAAACTGGGATAATTGATGTTATTTGGTGATTAAAGAGGTTGTTCATGGCCTTGAAAAAGCTCTCATGATTGTGGGATTAAGACAGATTATATGAGCTTGATTCCATAATCAATATTTTTAGCGTAAAAAACATGGTGAAGTTCAGTAGGAAAGGAACATTGAGATTTTTATAAAAATGAAATGCATTTCTTAAGTCTTGACTCTTGACAGTTCTATTTCTTCAACCATGTTATTGGAAATAGTCTATAAAACCATAAATCTGTTTTAAAAATCAAACCTTGACTTTCCCTATTGCAAGCATGTTTCTCAAAACATTGTATCTTTGGTAAAAACTGAGTGGTAATAAAGTACTTTTATTTCTGGTGCTCTTTTAAAAAAATTGCTTAAGTGTGAGTTATTTATACTAATTTTTTATTTCTTATATAAGACTCTCCTGAAAAAAACACTCTGGCTGCAAAGTTATCTGCCAAGAAACAGGCATCCACATGTCGGGATGAAAATGATGATTTTCAAGTAGAGAAGAAAAGAATTCGACATGTAGAAACTACACAGCAGGTAAACATTGAGTTTATTAGCAATGAAATAATCCATTAGTTATAACTAAACATGATAGTCAAATTCAATCAAATTTTCAGTGGCATAAGCAGATTAGTTAGGTTGTGTCACAGCCATAAATTGAATTTATTATAACTTCATTTTATACAGTTACTTGTTGTAAAGGAATTTGATATTGTGACAGGTTATTCATAGTAACATGTCTTAAAAGTGAAACTGCCTGGTACTTTCTTACATATGAGGAATTTGACAGTAAAATGTGAGGCATCTTGGTAATGCAAGAAACTATTTTATTAAAAAAAAATTTTTTTTTTTTAGTTGTAAATGGACACAATACCTTTGTTTTATCTACTTATTTATTTTCATGAGGATTTAACCCAGTGCTTCACACCTGCTAGGCAAGCACTCCACCACAGAGCTAGAACCCCAGCCCAGAAATTCTACTTTTTAAAAGTTCATGGGGCTGGAGTCGCAGTAGCTTAGTGGTAGAGTGCTTACCTAGCATGTGTGAGGCACTGGGTTGTATCCTTAGTACCACATAAAAATAAACAAAGTAAAGGCATTGTATCCATACCCAACTTAAAAAAAAAAAAATCAATTTTTTTTTTTTTTTGCCTCAGTACTGGGGCTCGAACCCAGGGGTACTCTACCACTGAGCTACATCTCTAGCCCTTTCTAATTTTTTTTAAAATTTGAGACAGGTTTTTACTAAGTTGCCAAGACTTGTCACTTGCAATCCTCCTGCCTTGATCTCCTGAGTTGCTGAGATTATATCTGTGCTCCACTGTGTCCAGCAAACTCCTTCAACATTTTAATCTAATAATGGCATTTTCTTTTCACCAAAATACCTTTGATAGGAATATTCATGGTATTGACAGTTTAAGTATAATGGTAAGATTTACTCATATTTACTGACTTCTTAATATTGATACATGATAAAATATGTGTATTTAAAAATTATTAAAAGATGTGTCAGGTGTGGTAGGAATGGAATGATTTAATAGGGTATTGGCAAGTAAAAAAAAGCATGGATACAGTTTGGAAAGAAAATGTGCTATTTAGCTAGGAGCCAGTAACACATGCCTAGCTATTCAGGAGGCTGAGGCAAGAGGTGAGACCGTGTCTCAAAATAAAATATAAAAAAGACTGGGATGTATCTCCGTAGTTGAATCCCAATTACCAAAAAAAAAAGAAAGAAAGAAAATAAAACTTAATGCTATTTATAAAAGAAATATAATCAGGCAATTTTTTAATCAAATATCTAGTAAGTAATAATAGTGATTAAGTAATTTATCCTATCATGTAGGGAATCACGACTATTTACATTTAAAGAGTTTAGGTCTGGGGTTGTGGCACAGTGGTAGAGCACTTGCCTACCATGTATGAGGCACTGGGTTCGACTCTAAAATAAAGGTTCATCAACATCTAAAAAAATTTTTTTTAAATTTTATTCTGAATTCTTTTCAATGTAATATGTGGCTTAAGTATTGACTGGACTTTGCTATAATACTGTATTTGATATCTGTATGGAAAGACTTTTATGGGAAAGTCACTTGATGATTATATAATTTTGATATGTCAGTAACTAAAGTTATTTTGGTTACTATTTAAGAGTTGTTACTAAAAAGTGTTGTAATGAGGTGCCTCTTTGTGTTTTTAGGGTTTTGTGGGTTTTATTGCTTACTTGTTTGTTTATTTGTTTTGGTACTAGAGATTTAATCCAGAGGTGCTTTACCACTGAGCTACATCCCCAGCTCTTTTTGTTTTTTATTTTGAGACAGGGTCTCACTGAGTTGCTTAGGGTCTCACTAAGTTGCTGAGGCTGGCCTTGAACTTGTGATCCTCCTGTCTCAGCCTCCTGAGCCTCGGATTATAGGTGTGTGCCACCATGTCTGGTGTTCTCTTTGTGTTTTAAAAAATTATTTGATTATTGCCAGGTACAAATAGTCTTTTTAGTTAAAAAAAAAAAAAAAAAAAAAGAACAGAAAACTATAAACAGCTATTTTGGCCTTTAAGAACAATTAGCCTGTCAAACTTTGTGTTTTTATTAAACTTCATTTTGGTTCTGTGTTTACAGATTAGAAAACGTCAGTGTTTTGAAAAGGAAGCATACCATTTAGATACACCTGTTTCTTCAGCAAAGACTGTAAAACCCAACTCTCCATTAGGAAAGGTAAATGCTTTTTCTCCACAAAATATATGTGTTTATATCATTGTTTAGTTTAAAGAAGGAAAATTGTGGACTTTTCTAACTCCATTTTTGTAAAGAGTGAAATTCATTAAGGAATAATGAAAAACAGGTTAGAGGTCCTAAGTACTGTCACATGTGTGTTTACTAATGGTAAACTATCCTCTCTGTGCCTCAGTTCTTCATTTATAAAATGAAAAAAAATTGGACTCGAGAGATCTGGAAGTTCTTTTTCTTGTATATTCTAATGTTTGTGAACTCCAGTTCCCTAAAGTTCTTTTAGGGCAGCAGTTCTTAAGGAGTAGACCAAGCAACTCCAGAGATTCCTAAGGTTTTTTTTTTTTCCTTGTGATCTGTGAGATCAGGAGTATTTTCATAATAATATGAAGATGTTACTTGCCTTTTTAATTGTTTTGATATGCACTGGTGGGGCAAAAGCAGTGATAAAACGGTGGTGGTAAAATTGTTGGTGCCTTACTACAAATCAAGGTAGTGGCTCCAATCTGTATTAATAGTAATTTTCTTCATCTACATTTAAAAAAAAAAGTCAGCTTCATTTAAGAATGTCTTGGATGAAGCAGTGAAAAATGACTAAGTTTATTAAATTTCAGGTTTTGAATTTTTTTTTTTTTTTGTACTGGGGATTGAACTAATGGGTGCTTTACTACTCAGTTACATCTCCAGTCCTTTTTAGTTTTCATTTTGAGAAAGGGTCTCACTGAATTGCTCAGGGTCTCACTGAGTTGCCAAGGCTGGCCTTAAATTTGTGATCCTTCTGCCTCAGCCTCCTGATTTGCTTGGATTACAGGCATGGTGCCTGGCTTGGCCCTTAAAATTTTTAGCATTTTATGTGAAAAAATTACTGGTACCCATAAAACTCTCACATCCAGAGGCAGGGTGGATATCTTGAAGAAAAGCACTTGTAGAATAGTTTGGCTTGTGAGCTAAACTAGCCACTTTTTTTCATGGGACATCATTTTTACCTGGGGGGGCATGTAATTAAATAGTTATGGTAACTCTTGATAATAAAGTGAGGTTGATAAATTTTGAACTTCGAAGTAAAAATTAGAATTTTGAAAAATATGTATATACTATTGTGACCTTGGCAGCTCTCTGGTACTTTTAAACTTTTATGATGAAATTACAACTTCAGTTTTGTTTTTAAGTTTAGTTGTACTTTGTTGATGATCTTTTTTTTTTAATATTTATTTTTTAGTTTTTAGGTGGACACAATATCTTTATTTTATTTTTATGTGGTGCTAAGAATCGAACCCAGTGCCTCACGCATGCTAGGCGAGTATGCTACCACTTGAGCCACATCCCAGCCCCTGTTGATGATCTTCATGGAAACATTATGGTTAGAAAAATCAACTAGATGCTTCTAGAATTAAAATGTTGAAAATCATCATAATAATAAGCTATATGAATGACTTTTCCCAGGTTTTATTGCTTTCTTTCATGCTACCTTATTTTTTTCATACCCTTAGTATTATCTGAATTTATTTGTTTACATGTTTATTGTCTATCTGCCCTGTTGGAATGTAATGTCAGTCTTTCTAGGGGCTGGGATTGTGGCTTAGCGGTAGAGCGCTTGCCTCGCATGGGTGGGACCCAGATATGATCCTCAGCACCACATAAAAAAATAAAGGCATTGTATTATGTTCATCTACACCTAAAAAATAAATATTAAAAAAAAAAATCTTTCTTTTTTCTTTTTTTTTAACTGATTTTATTTTTTAAAATATACAACAGTGTAATGTATTACAACTCTTGTTATACATATAGAGTGTAATGTCAATCTTTCTCATACCTATCCTAGTACCTGAAGTAGCATATGGCACATATTAATTGACCAATAAATATCTAGAATCTTCTTGAATTCTTACAATGTCTTGAAACAGGTACTATTGCTATTATCATTTTGCAGATAAAAGGAATCTTAGCAATAACCTGCCTAGTGTCAGAAAACTGGTAAATAGTAGAACTAAATTATCCTGAGGTAGTGTGATATTCTAGTAAATTTTGTAATCACTTTGTTATACATTCTCACTAAAATGCCTCTTAGATGGGCTGGGGTTGTGGCTCAGTGGTAGAGTGCTCGCCTCACATATGTGAGAGGCACTGGGTTCGATCCTCAGCACCACATAAAAATAAATAAATAAAATGAAGGTATTGTGTCCAGCTGCAACTAAAAATATTTCAAAAATGCCTCTTAGAAGTTCTGGAGCCATTTAAACAGAGTTCTAACATCAAGGTAAGGAAAGAAATATATAGGAATTTAGGGATTTAAAAATCAAGCGTAGAATAAGCTGTGATTGTTTATGGTAGAGATACAATTTTTTTCTTAGGATTTTTAAAAATTTTATTTTGTTTTTGTTTTCTTAAAGGGATAGGATTCCCTATATTGCCCGGGCTGGACTTGAACTCCTGGGCTCAAGTGATTCTCCCACCTCAGCCTCCCCTGAAGTATCTGGGACTTCAGGCTCATTCCACCATGCCAGGCTAGACTTTTGTTGTTGTTGTTAAGTTGTATGAACTCTGGAATCAGACTGATTGGTTTATTTATTTTTAAATTAAAATTAAATATAGTAAGGGTCTGCAATATGTTTTGATATACGTGTATATATATATATATATATATATAGTGAAATTATTAATAAAGTCAAGCTAATTAATATCCATCTCATCACATGGTTTCCATATTTTTTGTATGTGATGAGTACACCTACTCTTAGCAGATTTCCAGTAGACAAAACAGTATTATTAACTATAATCATAATTCTATTGACTAAATCTCTAGACCTGATTGATCCTACATAACTGTAACTTTGTACCCTTTGACCAACATCTCTCCAAATCCCCCACCTCTTCACCTTTAGTAGGGTCTGTTCTCTGCTTCCATGAGTTTGACTTTTGTAGATTGCACATTCCAAAGTGAGATCTGGTAGTATTTTTCTGTGTCTGGCTTATTTCATGTATCACAATGTCCTTCAAGTTCATGCATATTGTTGAAAGCAACAGAATATCCTTTTTTTTTTTTTTAAAGTCTGAATAATATTGCACTATATGTTGTATATTCATTTTTTGATGGACATTTAAGTTGTTGCCATATGATGAGATTGCCTGAGGTGTTTGTTTGTTTGTTTCTTTCTTTTTTTCTTTTGGCGCATGCTAGATTAGCACTCTTCTGTTGAGTTATACCATCATCCCCCTTTTTAAAAAAAAAAAAAAATTATTTTGAAACAGAGTCTTGCTAAATTGCCCAGTCTGGCCTTTACTTTGCAATCCTCCTTGCTTTATCTTTCCGAATAGCTGGGATTACAGATATGTGCCATTACTCCTGGCTGAGACTGCTTTAATCATAGCTCTGCTTTTTATTATCTGGGTAACCTTGACTAGGTTTTTAAACTTTTGGCAAAGTGCTTTAGTTTTCCAATTTGTCAAAGGGGGATAATAATAGTGCCTATCTCACAGGCTTTTGTGAGGATTAAAGCTAATATATACAAATTTCCTAGCATATACCTGACTGTTTTAGAATTTGAGTGGCAAGTAATGGTAGAAGTAGTTGCAGCAGCAAATATAGGTTAAGTACTCATTATCCAAAATTTTTTGGATCTGTAGTGTTCTGGGGTTTGGATTGTTTTCAGATTTTGGAATATTTTTGTATGCATACGGGTTGAATGCTCTTCCCTGAAATGCTTGGAATCAGAAATGTTTCAGTTTTTGGAGTTTTTTGGATTTAGGGATGTTTGCAAACTTTATATTTTATAGACTATGCAGTGAGGTATCTTGGAGATGGGCCCAAAGTCTAAACATGAAATTTATTTGGGTTTCATATATACTACATATACATAGTCTGAAGGTGATTTTATTCAGTATGTTTAGTATGTTTGCCTTTTGACAGTGACCTATCACATGAAGTCAAGTTTGAAATATTCCATTTGTGACATCATGTTAATGCTCAAAAAGTTTCAGATTTTGGAGCATTTTGGGTTTCAGGTTTTTGGATCAGGGATGCTCTGCCTGCAGTTCATATTCAAAGTTCTTTACCTATTGCTAATAAAAGATATATAATACTGATTAATAATATTACATATTTATAATTTTTAAGTGCTGTTAAAAGGTATTATATTATTATTGATGGTATCAATAAATATAAATTTTGAGAAGTTAATTTTAAAGTAAAAAGAAATTAAATGTTTATGGCTGAAACCTGATTCTAGACCACTTGACCATAAGCAAAGTGCTGTGTTCTTGACTGATCCTTTTTTTTTTTTAATTGGTTGTTCAAAACATTACAAAGCTCTTGACATATCATATTTCATACATTAGATTCAAGTTGGTTTTGAACTCCCAATTTTACCCCAAATACAGATTGCAGAATCACATCGGTTACACATCCACATTTTTACATAATGCCCTATTAGTAACTGTTGTATTCTGCTACCTTTCCTATCCTCTACTATCCCCTCTCCCCTCCCCTCCCATCTTCTCTCTCTACCCCATCTACTGTAATTCATTTCTCTCCTTGTTTATTTTCCCATTCCCCTCACAACCTCTTATATGTAATTTTGTATAACAATGAGGGTCTCCCTCCATTACCATGCAATTTCCCTTTTCTCTCCCTTTCCCCTTCCACCTCATGTATCTGTTTAATGTTAATCTTTTCTTCCTGCTCTTCCTCCCTGCTCTGTTCTTAGTTGCTCTCATTATATCAAAGAAGACATTTGGTATTTGTTTTTTAGGGATTGGCTAGCTTCACTGAGCATAATCTGCTCTAGTGCCATCCATTTCCCTGCAAATTCCATGATTTTGTCATTTTTTAGTGCTGCGTAATGCTCCATGGTGTATAAATGCCACATTTTTTTTTATCCATTCATCTATTGAAGGGCATCTGGGTTGGTTCCACAGTCTAGCAATTGTGAATTGTGCTGCTATGAACATCGATGTAGCAGTATCCCTGTAGTACGCTCTTTTAAGGTCTT